CTTCGTGGCGGGAGGTCTGTCATTGTAATGTCGTGCAGACCTTCAAAGCTAGGTACAGAGGTATTGAGTTCGATGATGATCTGATAAGGAACTGATCAGTCGTCTTCACCCAGCACGATACTGGTCGTCAGCTGTGCTCCTACCTTGTCCGCCATCTGGATGATTTCCGGAGACGCCCCAACACTGGCACCAGGAATGATGCCGCCGTCCTCTGTAATGGCCGAAGCTTCGACAATGGCCACGTCCAGGCGGTTGTTGGCCTTGTGCTTGGTGTAGAAGCCGTACATCAAGTCGACCGGGAACATGCTGAGATGCTTATCGAAGAATTTGATGTTGCCGTTGTTGATGCCTTTCGCGATCTCCTTGCCAACCTGATGCGGGGCACGGCGTTCAATCATGTTGAGTCGAGCCCATCGGTTCTCGGTCTCTGCCCCTGACGAGGCACCCACAAAGAGGTTGTACTTGAGCTTGCCTTGGAGGCCATTCTTCTCGACGTGGTCGGCGAGAGCGGTTGGCACCTTTCTGTTTTACCACCAACGTGATTAGCACCAGGTTACCATGGCGGAGTGAGATAGGTAGGACATGATGTAGTTGATGTGATGAGAAAGCGTACTTGGGGTATCCCACGCCTGTAAAGCCCGACCAACCGATATATGAACCGTGAGGGAATAGATCAATGAGATCTTCAGCCTTGGTCAATTTCTGTCGTTTGTCGTCAGCCAGATTTACCCACAGAAGTCAGGCTAGGTTCGCTTCGAGGCCCGCATCATCTTCAATGGGAGGGGAAATGCAAAAGGGTTCTAAGAGCTTATGGTTGGGAGTTGCTGCTCAAGCTCAACGCAAGCAACACTGGAGGTGTACGCACATTTAGATAGCTCGCTCTTCTGCATCTACTCTTCAGGAGAGCTGAGGCGGCCATTGTGGAATCGAAAATGAAGACCCAATGAAAGCCTTATAGCTAGACCAACAAAGGGAAATGTATACAAGGAGCCACACAAAAAGAGAAAGGCGTGTGTGAGAAAAAAAGGGAACGATGGAGGAATAAACTGGAGACTGGAGACCGGAGACAAGAAACCGGGGGAGCTTCAAATTGATGGAGGGGAGATTCGTCAAGACAGTAAATAAGGAGTGCGAAGAGGCAAGACGTCCAGGTCCCAATGAAGTAACGGACTTTGCTCGTCTATCTTCGCGGGATTTTTATATGGATGACAACAAAGGGGCGACAACGACGACCACGACCACGACAAAACAAGGCAGTCTCGTGAGGTTCGAAGGGGGAGGTTCTGGAGCTCGTGGTTGATGATAGCTTAGTCCGGGAGGAAGGCCAGCGACTAACTAATTGTAATAACTTACAATACCTAGTAGGAAGTCAAGGAGATAATAAGAGACGCAAGTTTCGTCATTGGGTCATTGGGTCTTTTGTTTGGCTCGCCAGGCGATGCTAGGCTTGTACTAGGCACTGTTAGGCTAATGAGCTCCCCGCCTCGGACTCGTCCGGATATGAGGCGGATTGGCGGGAATGCCCTGTTTGATCTGTTTGACCTGTTTGGGCTTGTCTGCGTTTCTGCTCGCTGCGTTTCTAGCCAAGCACCAAGCAAGCAACGTGGCAGACCAAGGAGCTCATTTTCTCTGTCTTGTCACTGACATTTGGTCGTACTCAGTATGCTGCAGATATCCACCTCCAAGAGACTGTGAAATTACAGTCACATCATCCAAGGCACAAATACAAGACACGCCAATTCAATCGAACCACTTGACCTCAACTCTCAAAAATCTCCCCCGAAGCATCTCCGTGTCTCTCGCCTATCACCAGCCAGCCAGAGCTACAAGTACCACACGTCAAACTTAGCCCTCGCCCCCTGGCGCCGCTCTACTCCCCACCGCTTTAAAGATCCCGAGATTTCCTCGATCGATGATGGCGTCGCCTCTCTAGTCGTTTGCCCACAAATCTGACAGTCGGGAAAAAGAAAAGAATAACACAATATTTCCTTTGATCCGTCAAGTCCAAATGTTGGGTGTTGAGCTGGTGACTTGTGCTCAACCACCAAATCCAATCCCGTGACCCAATACTCTTGCATCTATTCCGGGTAGCTGAGACCTTCCCAAAACGGGTTTCGCTTGTCGCTCTAGCCTCATTTGCAGAAGAGAGGCTCAGGAAGATGCTCATAAATGATGGCCTCCCAGGGATCATCTGGGTCAGCATCTTCGATAGGCCCCAGGCACGCCCTGTCAAAGACCTTCTCGCCCACGTTGACTCCGCCGGGCACCACGCGGATCAATTTGACCTGGGGGCAATCTGACGACGACTTCATTCTCTTTTCCAAATCCATGAAATATGCGCAACATCCCTCATGTGACAGCGCGACCAAGTTCTCCGGAAGGTCCCCTTGGGGTCTCGACCCGGCAAATATTTGCAACGAGTTCTGAAGTCGCACGGCATCAGGGGCGTTCCACACGTTCCCATAGACAAGTTTGAAATGCATCGTCCAGTGCAGGCCTCGAGCCTCCATTCTCCGGGCCACCTGACTCTGATAGAAGCTGTAGATACCGGATCTGGTGGGAAACAGTCGCGCCGACACGGCCATCCGGGCCAGAGCCAACCCCAGCGAGATCACCGTCTCAACCAACACTGCCAGACAGTAGCCGTGATCGGGGGGATGGCCCTCCTTGTCCTTGTCCACCTCGTCCTTGGACGTGCAGATTCCACAGTGGCAGGCTTTTCTGATCTTGGTCAGGTTCTCCACATACGAGGCTGAGGCATCCTCGTGTGACAATTTCAACGACCGTTCCATGCGACCTTGAAATCTGCGCAGCTCGGGGAGCCAATTGGTGATAGTTTCGATGAGACCGGCGCCGTATGACGCGGTATTGCTCTGATTTTGGACCGACACCAACTGCCCGTGATCCTCGTGTCCCTTGCCGTGCGCGAGACCCTCAAACATGCGCGCCGCGCTCCCAATCATTGTCCCAAAGGCTTTGGAGTTGTCATGATCAAGATGGTGGAAGCTCTTGCCAAAGACGCGAGGGAGCAGTGACTGCCACGCAACCCGGCCTCCAAATCTCGTGGTGTGGAGAGTGGCAGAGTATGTCCGATCGATCAGCGACAGTTCTTCGACAGCTGGTCCTGAGGGCTTCCACGGGTCGAAGGATGCTTTGATGCCAGCTTCCGGTACAAACACCAGGGTGAGTTGGGGCTCTTGATCTGGGTGCGTGACGCGGAGTTCTTTCCCGTCCTTTTGATAGACGACAATTCGCAGATCGCACAGCCACTCGGCGATAGCTGCGAACCACGATATGATGCCACTGCCGATAAGCGTGACATGCTTTGCTTCTCCCTTTGTGACGCGCATCAACGCCCGTAACGCCTCAGCGATCATGCTTGGTGGGAAGACATCATCAATCCTCTTGACCCGCTCCATAGGATAGACGATGGGATAAGGGTCGATCTGGAGATAATCCTCGACCAGCAGCCCGAAATCCGACGTGGCGAATATGCCGTTGCAACCGTGCAGCGCAGCCTGCCACTGACTAAAATGGGGCGTCATGTCGTCGGGACCAGCAGCCGCATCAGCCATGGACATGAGGACTCTGGCCCCGTAGGGTTCATGGAAGCTCTCTCCCAATGCGATCATCATGGCCAGGTGCTCGTAGGAACCCTCATGCACAGCCTGGTCGCGGATGACGTTGGACAGACCCCAACCAAAGGACAACTTCTCGCCCGGCGCGACCGAGACGTGGACGGGGAGGTTGCTGAGCGCATTGTTGATGTTTCTCTGGCCCTGGACCGAGATGTTCAGGTCTCTGAAGAGCCGGTACGCGACGTAGCGGGTGTACGGGTCGACTCGAGATCCCGAGAATTTGCGCAGTGTCGCTGAAGGGATCGAGATGGTTTGGGGGACGTCTTTGTCGATGATGGGCATTGTTGAAGAGAAGGATGGTTTTTTTTTGTGAAAGGCTTGGGAGGGGTCTTTCAACGGCACAGTCTCATGGTCCTTTTTCGTACACGTAAGGGGAGTGATGAGAATATATATACGGATCTACTTGCACATGTGTGAAACTACCTTCTGGAGGGGGGACAAGCAGGAGAAAAATGTCAAAGTGACAAGTCAACCAAAGCAAAGCATGTCTTGCCGCCGCCGCCCCCTCCATCCCACGAGACACGAGACCCTGAGATACGGAGAGATCCAGTCAACCGTGCCAACAGCTCAGCTCCAGCCCCGGATGAGGATATGGCACGGTGACTCAGCAGGAGAAAGGCCTCGACTCAGCTGCCATTCTATTGGCTGCGAACCCGAAGTGCGGGGTGTTTGTGCCGTGGGCTGATAGGGAGCTCGTCAGAAAGGAAGGGGTTGGCTTGCTTGGGTATCTATCCTGTCGCTTGCTGCGCTGATATCATTGTTGTGTATCCAGCAGCACCAGTGCCAGCAGGGTGGCTGCTCGGGCTTCGAGTGCACGTACACGACTTTCAGTCGAAACAGCCACTGTCAATGATGCCGCTACAGGGTGGGTATCTTGAACGGGAGGGTGAGACCCGACGAGATCACGCCCCAGAACGTCCTCCGTGTGGACATAAACATGATTATTTCACTTTCTAGTCGCTAGACTCTCCGTCCTTACCTGTATTGAGACGTGGCTTTCAAGGTCAATATCAAGGCGGCCCTCCACAGAAGAATGACAGACATCAACTGCCTATATTTTAATGCGTGCAGGTATACATATTGACATCCACCGAAACGACCTCAATTCAAGGGCTTCTTCCTCCCAAGGCCGAAGAATGCATTGTCAAAGTCCCAACTCGGCAGCTCCAAGCATGTCAGTGAAGCGTCTGTATATGACGCATGTTGGAATGCGGTGGCTCTGCCTGGGCCAATTCTCCTTGCAGCATCCAAGGTTTGGGATGCATCCTCTACCGCCATTCACGTTGCCTCGGGCTCTTTGTCAATTACCCTGATATCGTGGCTTGGGATTTCCGCGCCTCGAGCAATCAAATCCCACCCGAAATGTCGGAAAGCGTTGAAGTCTGGCCACCAGTTGACTTGATCAATGGACTGGCGATTGAAGCCCCCACGCCAGAGAAAGAGCTCGACGCCAACGTATTCAAAGGTGTGCACAAAGCATCCCCTCACCTTCGTCACTTGAACCGTCAAAGCTCGTGTGGATTTGTTTCCTATTAATTTAACAAGATATTCCTAGAGCTACCAAAAGGCACCGAAGTCGTCTCGATCAATCCCTCTGGCACGAGTGCGTGGGTGCAGACCGTGTGCATCGAAACCTCTCAAAAAGATGGACGGATTCTGAAATTCTTCAAAAAGGTACGACGAGACCAAACCCGGCTGATTCTATATCGTGCTGTGGGATACCTCGTTAACGGGACACAGAATCAACGTGGCCCCTTGGGCAGGCGCATGATGGTCGGGACCTACGAGTCTGAACAGGCCATCCACACCTATCTTCCCGCCAACGTCCCCAAACCCATCGCCTGGGGAGCATATCGGGACGATCCAGACATGTACTACTACCTCGCCGAGTTCCGGGACATGGTGGCCGACAAAGTCCCAGACCCCATACGGGTTGTCGATGCGGTCGTCCAGCTGCACCGCCAAAGCTCGGGCAAATCGCCAAACGGCAAATTCGGGTTTCACGTCGTCACCCATCTGGCCAACATCCCGAACAAGGCCGGATGGGAAGATACGTGGGAGAGACACTTCACCAACGCGCTGACGGCCATGATGGAGATCGAGTCGCGGGCGCAGAACAACCACGACGGCGACTTTGAAGACCTCAAGAGAAAGACGCTGGAATTGGTCGTTCCGCGACTCCTTCGACCGCTTGAAACAGGTGGTCGTAAGGTCACGCCGTGCTTGATCCACACCGATCTCTGGCCTGGGAACTGTATGCCGGATGCAGATACGGACCAAGTTGTTCTGTTTGATTCCTGTGCGATGTGGGGTCACCATGAAGCAGATTTAGGCAGTTGGAGGGCACCACGCTACCGCATGGGCAGGCCTTTTATAAAAGAGTACCAAAAGAAGATGGGCATGGACTTTCCCGTCAACGACTGGGATGATAGGAATCTATTGTACGCCATGTGAGTCCCCATTCCCCAGCTCTTTCACATTTTACACGGTTGGCTAACCGAGTTTCCGAGTACAGGAGGTATGATCTTCTGATCTCAGCCTTGTTTCCCAACACCGATAGATTTCGAGGATAGTAAGTTCTTTGCTTTGCACCTTCCACCCAAAGCACCTGGCAGGACACTGAATGACTGTACGTATATCCAGTGCGAAGGACAGCATGAGGTACTTGACCGAGAAGTACCGTGGTGGATTCGACGCATGGTTGGAGCCTACCGCGACAACCCTGAATCCCGTTGTGCTTGAGGAATTTGATGTTAGCCGGAGATTAGATTTGAGAAGCCTTGTCCTTGACGACCGAATGAGCTTCAGAGGAACCCATTTACATACATAATAAACCGAGGTATTTTGGGGATTGTCAGTAGTAGCCTGCCTGCTATGCATTATCGCAGATGACGATAGGACACAGGCACAACAGGATGTTCCTGACAAAGCCACTTGCACGTTGCCCTATTACTTCGGGAGGTTAAGCGGTGCCTGCCACGCAGCAATCGCGCCTTCTATACCTCGTATTTATGGTTTGATTGGCGTGATGAGATAGACAATCAACAAGTTGATCACACGATATCATCTACTCTGCTTTGAGGGGCAAGTATCTATCAGCATTCCTTTTAACCCCCTTCCTCTCGAAACAGTCAACAAAATGAACGAAAATATGCCACCTCCAGAAACATGACCAAGTGTTTCCCCAGGCATTGCACACCCATTGCTAGCGGCGCGAGATTGTCAACCCAAGACCCGCAAATTCCATTCCAGCATTCCTCGCATGGCGAGTCGCGGACCACGAAAAATGATCAAAATAAGATTGCGATCATGGACGATCAACCCCAGAAGATGACCATCGTTGGAACCTCTGGGACGAGCGGCACGTTCTGTGTAATATTTCACACAAAAACGCGGTTGGCTTCCATGGCATTGGCAGAAATACCTGATCGAGAGCCAGGGAATGTGGTACGTTACACCATGATGAAAGCTACCTCCCGCCTGACTAAGATCAGCAACAGGATTGCCTGTGTAAACAGACTGTGTTGGCAGGACGAACTGTCATGCTTCTAGTTTGGTGACCACCAGTGACAAAAGTCCATGCACACGCTCTGAGATTGATTTATGACGGTCAATCGCGACCATCCACCAAATTTGTCAAGTCAATGCCAGCGATGATTGACTCTCATCCATCTAGATACCTAGCAAATGTGCCTGTCTGACTCACTGCGGTAATACGAAAAGCACATCTCAGCAGCGAACCGACAATGAACACAATTGAGCCCAACCCTACCAGCCAAGTCGCGATATCGACATACTCGACCTTTTCACGTCGACAAAAGCTTTGTATCTCATGGCTGGCCTCACTGTCTGCCATGTACTCTGGCCTGTCGTCCTTCATCTACTATCCAGCGATAACCGCAATCGCCCGGTCCATGTCTGTGTCGATTGAGGCCATCAACCTCTCCATCACTTCGTTCCAGATCGTCTCTGGCGTGGCGCCTAGCGTGCTCGGCGACATGGCCGACCAGGTCGGCAGAAGACCAATCTGTCTCGTGGCGTTCCTCGTCTATTTCGCCGCCAACTTGGGCCTTGCTCTGCAGAACGACTATGCGGCTTTGATAGCTCTGCGGTGTCTGCAGAGTGCAGGCGCGTCAAGTAAGGTAGAGAGAGTCTCATAGATCCACAGCAGCAATTTGACTGACACATCTAGAGGCACGATCGCCATCGCCTACGGCTTTATAGCTGATATCGCTCCTCCCGTGGAGAGGGGGTCCTATGTGGGAATTCTACAGGGCTTGTATGTTCTGAAAATTCATACTCTACTCACGGAAAGGAAAACATGGTTACTGATTAATGAGAACAGCACAAACTCAGCACCATGCATCGGCCCGGTCCTGGGGGGTATCCTCACCGAGACCCTTTCGTGGCGCTGGGTCTTTTGGTTCCTGTCAATCCTGTCGGGATGTAACTTGATTATCCTGCTCCTCGTCGTCCCGGAGACATGTAGGAAACTTGTCAGCGACGGTAGTGGGCAAACACCACACTGGATGTACCGGCCACTCGTCAACATCCTCAGAAATGTCGAACAAAAGGAGGAGGTCCATGACGCCGCATCCCCGCGACGACAACAGCGACGACGACCACGCATCAACATGCCGAACCCGCTTCACTGCTTGAAACTGCTCTTGGACCGAGCTTCCTTCCTTGTTATACTCATCGGGGGAATGCAGTATACTGTATAAATACGGGTGCATCGCCACGTCGCTCTCCACGCTGGTGATCCGCACACATGGGCTCAACTACCTGAAAGGCGGACTGACATACCTGCCGCTAGGGGTTGGAGGGATCCTCGCCGCCCTCCTCACCGGCAGAGTTCTAGACAGGGACTACCGTCGGACAACAACAACAACCAAGGACCACATCCCCGCTATTCCAAACAATGACAAATCCCCAATCGACCTCAACCTTGTGGGTGATTTCCCTATCGAACAAGCCCGACTGAAATCGATATTCCCGCTATTCGGGATCAGCTGCGCCGCGACCCTGGGCTACGGCTGGTCCTTACACCACCAAGTCCACGTCCACGCCCACGCTCAAGCCCACCCGGACGTGCCGCTGGCAGTGCCACTCCTCATGACCTTCCTCAGCGGCGCGTCCCAAGTCTCCATCTTCACGATCTGCGGCACCCTGCTGACCGATCTGAACCCCAACCGCAGCGCCACCGTCCAAGCGAGCTACAGCCTGATCCGCTGCCTCCTGAGCGCCGGTGGCATCGCTGCGGTGGAGACACTGATCGACGCCGTTGGAGCGGGATGGTGTTTTACAGTGTTTGCCCTCGTTGTGGGCGTCGTGTGCGTGCCACTCGCAGTTGCGCTTCGGAAATGGGGGCCGCGGTGGCGGATAGAGGCGCGGAGAGATCGTGGCGCGAGCTTATAAATGCAGACACAGAACCGGGCGTCCTCGTACCGAGACTGGCAGCTGAACAACAACCATTGGGACCTGATGGCACTCTAGAGATCTAGGACGCGTGGACGGTGAAGGTGAAAGTCAAGAGATTCCGTCTATTTGACGAGGGTGGGGTAAGGGACTAGGGGCATTACCCTGACAGACAGACAGATAGATCCTCGTAGGGCTATATACATTTACTTGGAACCACCTGGCAAAGTCTTGAGATACGTAACTCACCCTCACCCCTTGGAATGCCATTCACTTGCATTGAAACCCCAACTTTTCGCGCCGACAACCAACTCGACATAGATCGGAACACACACACAGGATTCTTCCCTTGAGACATGTGATCCACATCACACCCATGATCTCCGCCCATTGCTAGACCGCAGCTCCCGCTTCGGAGTGGTCCGCACCCGCACTCTTGTGCTCGACAATCTCGGCGGTGAGCTGGACAGTCTGGCACTGGTAATGTCTCCACTTCCGCATGGGCAGCTTGAGGGCGTACATCTCGTCGACCTCGACGACGGTGCGGGCCCTTGTCTCGGGAATGTAAAAGTAGGCCCAAACGGTCGTGATCAAGACGCAGCCGGCGAAGATGAAGGCGGCTTTGGCACCCAGGTTGCCGGCGTCGGCGGCCGTGATCTGCGGAATGGCAAACGTCGTGATGATGGCCGTCACGTACGACCAGAACATGGCCCACGTCATGGTGGGCTCGCGCAGGGTGGGCGTGGCGATTTCGGTGGGGAGAACATAGGCCCTGTGAGTTCCAAGAATGTTTAGCATTGGTACTTTAGAAAAAAAAGAAAAGAGTTGAGGGGAGGAGGGGGGCGGGGGGGGGCGAAAGAAGTGGCATACAAAGATTGGAACGAGACGGCATTGACAAAGCCAAAGATGATAAAGACAGAGGCAAGGCCCAGTCTCTGGCTATTCGTCGTCAGTCCGGCGGCTGCTAAACCCCCAGCAGCCATGTTGAGCAGGAAGAGGAGGGAAAAGCCGACGAGGGCCACGGGTCGGCGCCCAGCCCTGTCCACCAAGGTAGGGCCGACGATGGTCCCCAGAAACTGGAGGCACGCGATGACGACGGTCATCTGGAACGGGTTTCCCACCCCGCTCTGCACGAGGATGACGGTCGAATAGGTCCCGACCAGGATCTGTCCACCCACTTGACTTGCGCTGATCAAAGCACCGGCGGTGAGGGTTCGCTTGAGGTTGGCGCGATTCAAAATGTCCCAGAACCTGGTCTGTTTCCGCATCTCGGCTTCTTCTTCGAGAGTGATCCGGTACATGGAGATTTCTGCGTCGACAATGTCCGTCTTTTGGTTGCGAATAGACATGAGGATGCGTCGGGCCTCCTCGAGCTTGCCGTGTTGGAGATACCAGAGCGGCGACTCGGGGCAGAGAAAGGTCAGGAAGCCAAAGGCCACGGGGCAGGCGGCTTGAACAGCCAAAGGGATCTTGTACTGCCTCTCGTCGTCGATCCTTTCGGTCGCCCACACGATGGTCGTCGCGATGATGGCCACGGCGCCCACTCCTGCTACGCAAAAGCCAACCGCTCTGCCGCGTACATGGGCAGGGACAAGTTCCGACAGGTAAAGCGGAGCCGTGGTTGTCAGAACACTGATCCCCAGATCTGAGATATCAATTAGACTCTGTCAACACCGTTGGTGGATTCGTCGTCACTCACAATTCCAGAATCTTCCCACCGTCATGCTACTGATGTTGGGGGAAAATAGCTGTAGAAACGAGCCGGGAGTGCAGAGCAGGAAGTAGGCGCCGATAAAAGTCTTCTTGCGGCCAAAGTACTTCATCGCGGGAGTGGCGAGAAACGTACCCATGGCGGCGCCGACCAGGGGAACTGTGACAAGAACATCGAGATTGTGGGCCTATAGTTGACGCACTCGTTAGTGACGTTGCGAGGACTTTTACCAAAGACCACAAGCGTCCACGGCACCACTTACTGTAAAGGCCACTCCGTAACCCTGATATTTCTCAATCATCAAAGGCAAGCTCATCAGCGGGCTGACAAAGCTGTTGTCATAGCCGTAAAGTCCCATCGACAACCCCACGATTATCACTAGACACGCCAGGTTAGCTAGGTTGCTCTGGCCACGTCGAGCCTTGGGCTGCGCGAGAGCAAAGACTCACTGGACAGGACGATTCTCCAGTTCCACCAGCCTGTGGGGTGATGGATGTTGCGATCAACCACGGTCGCATCCTGGGTGGCATCCGAGACACGCTCCTCGTGCATGGTGGTTTCGTCTTTGGCTGCTAACAAACCCATTGTTGGAGAAAGCAAAGTAGTCGGTGATGGTGGTGGTGGTGGTGTGGTAGAATATGGAAGACCTGTTTAGCAGTGCAAGTGGGATTCTGTATGTTATATGGCGTGATCCGTCAGTTGTCCTCGGTCATGAGTAGCAAAGGTCTGGGAGGCGACACGACTATCCACTCCTTTCCCATGGGGAAATCCATGGAGGTCAGGGGGACCGTCTAAGAGAAGCCAGAGGATCCAAGACCAGAGAGGACCGTGGACTTCTTCCCCATGGGGAATTGTATGGCGTGCAGTGAGCAGGCAAATGTACGGGTCTGTGGAAATGTTTTGAATGGAACAAGAACCCTTGAAAACTGTGCGCAGCCTCGCCAACGCGGTGGCGTTGATAAATGTGCCCCTCACTAAGCCACTTGGGGAATTTGTCCAGAAACGGAATTTCCCCAAATGGATCAAATACATTTATCCTTTGAAACCCTCCGAGGACAACCACCCCAGGCCTCGCCCTGGCCATGAGGGACACGAGAGATTAAAACAACTGACTTTTCCCTGCTGGGTTGGCTTCTTCTCAAAGATCCGATCGAACCATGGCCGCAGTTTCAGTTGCAGGGATAACTGAGGCCCAGCCGCCTTCTACCCCCTTCGGGGATGCTGAAATCTCACCGGAGCTGGAACTGCTCTGCAGGCTCCAGGGGATGGAGCCGAATCCCGTGAACAAACTACAAGCCCCAAACTTGAATTTCTTACAGGTGAGATGTCCCGGACCAACAGTCCTCGAGCAAACAAAAGGCTGACTCGAGTCTAGGAACTGGCAAAGCTGCCGGTCGATTGGACAACAGCCCCAGGAGGTACCGACGTCGAGGCTATGCGCAAGTGGATCGACAATGTTCTCTTGAAAGGACCTCTTGCCGAACATAGAGCCAAATGCAAATTCCAACGCCGACGGCCTGAAGCCAAGGTCGACATATCCGATGTATCCGTGCAGTGCTCAGATGGAAGCCAGAACAAATTCATAATACGTGTATACGAGCCCGAGCTCGGGGACAATGCTCCCAAGCAGAAGCTCAGACCTGCTATATTCATGCTCCACGGTGGTGGCTGGATCCATGGGAACCCCTGTGGCGACGATCGTGAGTCACCACTATGAGCGCAATGTCTAAGATTTACGGCCAAGACTGACTGCAACAATAGTCATTGCGACATTCTTCGCGTCTGAGCTTGACGCTGTCATTCTCGGCGTTGATTATAGGCTTGCCCCCGAGCACCCATTCCCAGCCGCTTTAGATGACTGTTGTGAAGCCATTGCATGGGTATGTACTTGGCTTGCCCGAAAGCAAAGACGAACTGAAGGCTAAAGCGAATTGCCAGGCAGTCCGAAACGCCGACCAATACCACATCGACACCTCGCGCATGGGTGTATGGGGTGCCTCGGCAGGTGGAAATCTTGCGGCGGCTGTTAGCATCAAACATACCCAGGAGCGTTCCGTGACGGGATATCCAAGTCTGCGGTTAGCGAGCCTTGTGGTTCCTGTGACTGGCCACCTGAAGGTGCTGGAAACATTCAACAAGCAACGCCCCTGTGGAAAAAGCCACAACGAGCAAGCAGTTGCGGACGTACCGTTGGCCCCGGAGCTGGTGGTCAAGGAATTCGAGAAAGTATATGGTATGTTTTCCACGTAGCATGCCGAGTCAGTGAGAAACTGACCTACTGATCGTTCCTTTGTCAAGAACTTTATCTCGGCAACGCCACCGACATATACGATCCTCTCGCATCTCCTCTGATGGTCAAAGACATCTCACAACACCCCCCAACACACGTTACAGTTGCAGCCTGCGATTTTTTGATGCCTCAAGGCCTCGCGTATGCACAGCTGCTTCGCTCATTTGGCACAAGCGTCACTGAAGAGATTCTCCCTGGTGTACCTCATGGCTTCACCTTTCCATTGAATGCTGATGTGACAAGGAAGTGGATTGAAGATCAGAGGGACGTCTTTATGGCAGCTTTTGCCTGAGCAGGCTCTTGATTTATGATAGAATGGATGCGATCTTGTGATATTTATGTTTCGTCAAGAGAGATCAATAAATCGATCGATAGGGTCCAGTGAATTGCCATCATAAGTCTGCTCAGCATCATTCGATGTTGAAGGATCCCATGAATTGCTATTGGTCTCGAAGACGCGACCACTCATAGGCTCAACTTGTATCGCTGTCCGTGCCTGAGACCTCAGGCTCTGATATTCGTAGGGCGGCCGGGTATTGAGCGATGCAGGTACTGTCGAAATCAGAGGCATGACCACCTCTGCGAGTTGAGGTGCAAAGATCTTCTCATGATCCTCCTTGATGACAGCGCCAGCGAGGCCACCTAGAATGTATTGACACTGGCTTCTCCCTGCCAGGACGCGGATGTTCTGCGCAAGGCTAGACAGTTTCCCGAGACCCACGATTCGTAGTTCGCCTTCTCCCAGTAAGCAAATCCAAGACATGGCTGCAAGACCCAGGGCCTCGACCGATTTCTGTAATCTCGGAGAGATGCCGATGCCCATTTTGAGGTTGGCAACGAGCTTTGTTGAAAGTTGCCATTGCCGCGTGACAACCACGTCAGCTGCTTGTATACGGGAGTACCGATGGCGTTTGAAAACTGCCCCGAACAGCGTTGCCATGTCAGCCTCAGAATCAATGTCGATTTCGTCAAACGCTTCTGCATTCTCGGCGAGATGTATTTCAGTAAGGCGTCTCAATAGGTGCAGAGCAACTCTGTCGGATTCATCAAGGGCGCCGAGGGTGTGGGATGCCCTCAGTGGTAGGTCCACAACTTCCCGTGGCCTGCGAGCCCGCCGCCGTCGACCTTGGTTCGCATAGATTGCCATGGTCGCAGCTTCTGTGTTGAAGAGCACCTGCTCAATTTGTGCCTTTCGGTGCCGCTCTTCTTCGTCGGCAACGCCCACCACCTCCAGGAGAGACAGCGCCTCGTCCAGGTACAGGAATGCGCGGTTGTGTTTTTCGAGGACATTATTGCCGGTGAAAAGAAACAAAGAGACAACCACACTATCGAGAGTTGGAGGGTCGGCAAAGTCGTATTCCAAGCGTGACTTCTCAACTTGGGTAATGAGCTCCGAAAGATGTGCCGTATCTGATGGAGCCATGCGAAATTGCCCCGCTGCGTTCACTGCCCGAATGGACAAGAGTAGCGTGCGGAATTCAGGAATGGCACGCCATGCGGGTTCGATGATCAGACGTGAAGCAAGGCTTGCGTATGACAGGATCGGGAACACAACATACAGGGTGTCAAAAAACTCGTCGATAGCGTTCCAGATGTCGTCGCCCCTGGATAGTTCATCCTCTGGGAGTAACACATCTTGTATCATACATGGGTCGTCGTTGACAGCAATCGTGCCCGAGTCAGAAGTCTGAGACTCAAACGCGTAGTTTTGACCATCAGCATCAAATCTCTCACAGTATCCATCAGGTACGATGCCCTGGGCGAGACCGTCAAACTCGAACTCGTGCTCTGCAAGGTTTCCAGATGGAGCCGTAGGCGAGAGTTCAGATATTCGAGAGGTTGGAGAGTTCAACCTAATCAGACTTCCAGAGTAGGGAAGGGTGCTCTCGTGGGCGTGTCTGTGTGCGGACCGTCAGAGACGTACGGTGCTCACTCGCTTTCATGCTTACCCTCGTCGCCGCCGGCCACGTTTTGCAGGCTTCTCTTCGTAAGTGCATTTCAGACCCGCCCTCAGACACTGACTGCAAGACTCGATTGTCTGAGACTTTGCGTTTCGACACTAATCGACGCCATCTTCAGAACGATGTCCAATGCAGAGTCCTGAGTTATGTACCTTGATTTTCAGCCTTCGGCAGGAGTCGCAAGCCCTCCCTGTCGCCGATGTGGCAGCAGAGTTCTGGCCGTTTCCCAACGAACGGAGTCCTTGGGTGGGAAATGAGGTAAACATTGGGCAATTGATGGATTGATTGTGGAGAGGATCAAGAGGAGCTGATGTTCTGCGCCATTGTGAGGTTCTGGTGGTGGCGATTTCACTTGTGTAGAAGGATGATTCTGTAGTGACGTGGACGCAGACATGAAAAATGTCAAGTTCAAATTCCCCGCCTCAGGTGGACCTGAGGCGGCTTAGGATACAAAACTCAATAACACAACGCCCCCATGACCCGCCCTTTCCGAATGTTAGGTTTACGCTTTTCGAGGCCACAACCACTTAAAATGTGTAGGACACTCAAGGATGAAAAGCCAATATTTTGTCATATACAATTGGATTTCGTTGATGTTTACATTCATTCTCGAGATTTTAGCTGTCTAATTCCCTTCCACCAGACAGGATGACGATAACCCTCATATAAGAAGCACTTGGGCGCCTAATGTCGACATGGCAGTATACCAATCGGCGGAAGGGTGATCCTGGCTCCCCTCACTCCGGATCTGCCAGCATGTCTTCATCACCTGAAGAGCCCTCAACCAAACACCAGGTCCTTGAGTCAAGGTGCCGGCCTTCACCGCCAACTCCTCAAACAAAGACTCTTGGTCTTTGAGTGCCATGCATCCGGTAACGCAAAAAGGCCAGAGCATGGCATGCAGCAACCGAACATCGGGTAGGACACTGAATATTTTCAGCGATCTGGAAACGGCGTCCCGAATCTCAGGAAGATGGGGATCAGGGCCAGACAGAACGACGGTCAGGTAAACCAGAGCTGCACAGGCGAAGACATGGGTGACGATGGGAGTAGCCTGGACCAGCCAAGTCTCCGCTGCTCTGTCTGTGGATCCCCTTGCCAAAAGTGGGAGGTAGCTCTCCCAGGGTTCAGCGAGACCCAGTTGTAGACGCTCCTTGAGCTCGATATATTTTTGGCAAACATCCTCGCCTCTCCGAAGTTGTCCTTCCTGTCCACCCCTCCTATATCCATCAAGCACTGCGATGTCCCGAATGATGACCATCACCCAGTTCTCGCAACCCATGATTTTCCGTAGTCGCACCTTGCTGTCCGAGGCGCCAAAAGCGGCCGCGCAGATGTCGGCAAATTGAGGTTTGCAGCCTGTTGAGACAGTGGCCAAGGTATCGAACCAGAGGAAAACAGCACTGAAGAATTCTACGGCCACATGATCCACAAGGGCAAGTGAGGAGTCAGTGGAGCTTGCCTGACTGATTGCTTCTTCGATCTGCTTGCCTTCGTCATACAAAGCAGAAAGACGGTGGTACGGGAAAGCCAGGCAATAAGCTTGCAGATAGGGAAACATGCCTGGAGATGCAATCATGTGCTTCTGCCAGGCATCAAGTCGGCCCCTCGAGTTCTAGAGAAAACTTGGCATTAGAAAAGAACTGTGGGCTCTGACTATGGCGGCTGCACCGCCCCCGCCGAGACTTACTTCGAGCATTATCAAATAGACGACACAAGCGAACACTTCAATCCCATCCCGCAGACTTTCTTGGACACTTTTCTCGCTTAAGCGGTCAATGTGTTGCCGCAAGCCAGTTACGGCTAGACCATAGAGCCGTTGCTGCTCGTTCTCGCGCGGCCGCCCACGGATGGCGTCGGGACGGTGCGAGCTCGGATCGCGATAGACGAGAACCAGGGCAAGTGCTGCATAGCACAGGGGTTCACATCTCACCATCAGAGCACGGAGCCAGCCGTGGCCCCTTTCAGGAAGAGAAGCCACATAAAAGGGAAACTGAAGGGGGAAAACATGGTCGAAATACTCGTCCAGGAGTTGCTCATCCGAATGCGTCGGACGCCACGTTGGTGTCACGCCTTCAAGACCTGCTAACAGCTTGGGCGTGCCATCCGTTGCCGTCAGAGGGTGTTTTTGTCGCAAGGCATGGAGGGCGCGTGCGCGGCGTAGACTATCCGTTGTTGCCTTGACTCCGCTGCGAATCTCTGCCACCATCTCTTTCTCTCGCGGTCCGCCGTCCTTCCACCCAGGTTTGGGCCCATATCCATAACAGGGAATTAACAGCATGCGGCAAACATTGCAGGTGGGCCTCTGCGCGTCGCATTTCTTCCTCCGCAGACGACAGGTCCAGCATCCCGCCATGCCGAGCGGAGTGTGATGGCTGGGTCTGGTGGGCGTTGACTGCAAGGACGTTGAGAGTTGAGACTCTTGGTTGGTCGGTTGGTTGGCTGGAAAGGGAAACTAGGACGCTCTACTTCATTTGAAGATAAGGGAGGGCGCCGATAATTAATTACCTCTACCTCAAACTCGGAAAATGCACTAACCGTTTTCAGTAGGTCTAGCGGTGCTATTATTACCTCATCTCGTCCTTATTATAGCCTAACTGGAGAAAATAGGCACGCTAGGGTAAATATTACAGACTCCTTACACCTTGAAACTTTCTGTACCTCCACTAAACCCCCTAATGCAACCTATCAATGTAGTTATGCTCCCGCTATTTTTCAGGCCAGACAAGGAGTTGCTCAAGTGTCATCCCAGTGTCCCTCAACACCTGCTCGAGGACCTTGTCTTTGTGCTCCTCCATGGCCTTGCTTATGCGTTTCAGTCCAATCTCGTCATCCAGTACGTAATAGACTTCCTTGGCTCCGCCTTCGGTTGAGGCATCGAACGCTGCTTGGGCAACGGCCGCGGCTGGCACCCGGGGATGGTTTATGAGGCTTTTCTGGAAACATCGAACAATAGGTCCCAGGAATGACAGGATCGTTGCACTGACTTGCAGGGCAGTCGGCATAGATCCTCGCGATAGATTACTGTTGGAATTCATCCCTCCAGGGTCCAATGAAAAGATATTCACGGAGTTGACTCCAGCCTAAGTCATAAGCCAAATGTCAGCCGTGCATGTATATGGGCTTCAGGATTGCCGACGGGTCGTCTTACCTTCAACATCTTCTCCTTCAAGGTGTACATGGCAATATCTCCAATCAATTTACTGCTGCCGTATCTGGTCAACCCTTGCATGATCGACAAGTGCGAGCCAATAGGGTTCTTCTCGGTAGGTCCCCAGGTGTCAAAGAAGTCGGCTTTGCCCAACGTGACGGTCTCACTGGTGATGTTGATGACCTTCCCCCGAGGCTTGCCCTTTTCCATCTGAAAGGCCCCCTTCAGCAACAACGTCGTCAAAAGGAACGACGACAGCACATTCGTCTGGTATACAGGATCAAACCCGTCCTGCGTTTTCTCATCCACTATGTACGACGAATATGCGGCAGAATTGACCTGAACAGCAATTGGCGGGATGTTTCCTGACCGCACCTTTTCGGTGACTTTGGCTGCGAAGGTCTTGACCGATGTGAAGCGTCCGAGATCGAGAGTGAGGAATTCGAAGGCCGTCACGCCCCGGTTGTGGAGCTGGGTCGAGATCTTCTGGGCCTGGACATCATTGTCCCTGCGTGCGGTAAGGATGAAAAATACATCCGGATGTGCTTTTGCAATCGCAAAGGCGATCTGTGAGCCCAGGGCGCCGTTACCACCCGTGATCAAGACTGTTTTTGATACTTTGGTTGACATCGCGAGGAACGTTCGCCCTTCGGTCAGGACAGGGCTTGTGCCTGGAATGGGCGCTTATTCGAATGAGGTTTCGGAGGCAAGCAGGATGAGGAACGAAAGACTTTGCAAGGTCTGGCTCGGCGAGGTTTGACCGCGTCGACGGTTCGAGCAGGTTGTGTCTGGCTGAGCATCTTTGCCAGCGTCCCGTCGTTGCTGGGCTTTTGTACTTGGTTGAAAAGGCATAATATTCGTCCGAGCAGAATCCCTTACGGGCAATGGCAATATGCACACGGGGATTATTATAAATACAGTGGTCAATGCTATCTAGCATAAGATGAATGTGATAAGGGATAGATGGCTTTTGTTCACTTGCTTTGAAAGACACCTACTCGTGCTGCTCGTATGTGCTCAGAGTGGCGAGATTGCCCCATTCTAATGTGATTGGGCGATTCCTCGCTTCGCCGTGCCATTGCCCGATCCAGGCATTTAAGCGGCCGCGCAGGACACAAGGTTGATGACAGACGACATCCATGTCCAGTAATGACCAGGAACAGTCTTTCCTGATCCTCTGCAAGGGGGTCTTCGTGTTAATCCAGTAATCAGGCGAGCCTCATCAGCCTTTGATCTTGCTGAATCCCCTGTGTCAGATAAGAAAGAATGAGCACTTCCAAGGCTGAATACTATCCATCATTTGATCTATCTCTGTGGTACATCTACGGTGTTGACAAACTCGTACTCTTTCCTAAATATCAGATCCTCCAGTCTCTCCACTTGGGCAGGCTCAAAGTTAGCCCTCAAGCACTCTCTGGCTTCTGTCCCGAGGAATTCTAACGTCTTACTTTGGACTTCCCTGCCAAAACCCGGTGGCACACGGAACAGACCGTAATCAATGAGCAAAGCGACCACGTCTGCCCAGGCCTCGTCCATTTTTCCGTCAGGAAATTGCTTGCTGTACCGAGCCAAGAGGCTGATCATCTTTGCAGCCTTGTCTTCCAACCTGACCTGAGATGCCCGGCCGTAGAAATCGGTCAGAGGCTTCCGGGCGCGTTCGAGCAATAGAGCCACAATTTCAGATGAAGGCGTTACCCTCTCCTGCTGGAATATGGGAACAGGCTCCAGCGCGAGATCGAGCAGCCTGTCCAAGTTCCCCACAAAGCTTGCGTCTAATTGTGCACGTAGGAAGCGAGTCAAGCCGAATTGGGCTGCCAACCCCAAGAAAGACCCTCTGTCCCCTTGCCAGTGCGTGAGCGGATGGACAAAGCGCCATTGACTGAACATTTTCTGGAATATGACTACTCTCGCGCAATCCCGCAAACCCCAAGGATCCCAATTTGCAATCAGCCGTTGTCGAAAGACCGTTAAAAGGCTGAATGGCACGGAACCAGATTCACGGTCGTTCTGCGAGGAATATTGGAGGAAGGTTACTGCGGTGGCAATGCCGTCTTCGCCAGCCTCCGTGTGCATCGCTCGGAGGCTGTCTGTGTCTGCCAAAGCAAGAAACTCCACGAGTGAAGCATTGCACATGTACCGCGACACGTCTATGCTGCCACTGGTGTATGTGCTGAGTCGGGTGCGCAAAAGTTCGCTCTGACAGAAAAAATCGTAGACAGTACGGTGTAGGAATTCAACTTGCCAGTCAACCCATCTTGCTCTCTTAATCTCCGCTCCCATTTCGAGGAGGCCCTTGCACCTGCTGTTAAGTCGTCTCTTTGTTGAGGATATGTGCTGATGAATCGCTTGCTCCGTCAAATCGTCGTCTTCGAGATGCAACGCAAAGTCAACATGCTCTTCCTCTGTAAACGACAAGGCTAGCACTGTCCTGTGCGCCTTTGGGAGCGCTGTCACGATCTGAAAGATCTTTCCCGCATCAGCGCGCTCCGATGCATCTATCGATTCGACAATTTGCATGAAGAAGTCATCCAACTCGGCAGGGAGCATGTCGAGTCTTCGGAAAAGGTTTGTGATGGTTGCTCCATTTTGCAGACGCTGTAGCATGTCTCGGACAACGAGGATGACCCAGAGGAAAACGCCCTGCGCCTTGTCCACAATCTGGGATTGGAGATCGTCGCATTGCGTAGGTTTGATGGCCCGTAACTCCCTAAAATGCACATCCTCCTCGAAATGATCTCGTACATAAGTGGCAACATCCTTTCTGGTCAAATCCTCGAGATTGAGGCTCGAAAACCGTTTGAGTCCTTCCCGGAAAACAGGCCACGGCCGACTTGAGACGCATATCTTTACATTGTCATGCTCCGAAGCGATGCGGGCGAACATATTGACCAGGTTTTGCCGCTGTGATTCCGTACCTTCATATTCGTCCAGGCCATCGACCAAGATCACAAACCGAAAGGAGCCAGAAGCCAGACTGAAAAGACGAGCAATAGAAGCTGTGAGCTCTTGTTCGGACCAGTCGTCCAAATCCGCTTGTCCATAGTAGTAGGTATGCCAGCGCTCTGGGTGTGCGATCCGCATAAGCGACGGTTCCTGCTTGAGAAGCTGGTACAAGAGGACTCTAAGCATCCCCGTCAGAGATTTCTGGAGTGGTGTCCCGGCCCTCCAGAAGAAGCAACTTGCCAAAAGTAGTCTCCTCGAACCAGCCCATTTTCGCAAGGAAGTCGTCAGTTGAGAATGCCTGGTCAAATACCGCATAAGACATGACTTCCCTGCCCCAGGCTTGCCTCTAATATAGAACAACCCCTGTTTGGGCTGGTCATTTTCCAGCCAATCTGTGAATGTTGTTTCCTTCAATGAAGACGCAAAGTCTTTGCCGAATATCCATGCAAAGGTTGATTTGTGAGCTTCAGATATCATGGCCTCCCTGTCTCCCCACTGCACAAAGTACAAGCTGATCAGCATCCTATTCTGAGCTTCCTCTGTCACTTGCTGCCTGGTGTTCTCAGCGATCCCCGTTAACTTCACAGCCAGTTCACAGCCAAAAGATGACTGCCAGTCGCCTATGGCCTTCTGAGTGGCCGAATGTTCTTCTTTAATAACTGCTTTCAGTCTGTCTAGTTGGTAGCTGATATCCTCATGGTCGGTCCTTACCGCCTTCAACAGAGCGGCTTCGGCAGTTTTGCTCGCACGAAGCAACTCTTCAAGGTCGGTGTCATGTTGGGTGCTGGAGCAATTGTTATCATTTATCACGGCCGTGCCACTCGCGAATTTCGATTCTTACCTCAGATACGCAACAAGATGGAGAGTGAGTTCGGTTTTCGCCGTTTCGAGATCTCGCGCAAGAGCACTGATTTCCCTCCCTTTGAACACCGAAGAAAAAGCCTGCCGAATAGCGCCAAAACGCTCGGTGTGAAGTTTCTTTATCTTCTCAACTGCATCCACCAGGACTTTAGCGGCACGTTGACATCGTTCATTCGCTTTCAGAATGCCAACCTCCCAACTAGCCGCATCCTGATTGCTGTTGCTGGGCGGATATTGCTGCAATCGCGCAGTCA